GGACATTTAAATTGCTTCTCAAATACTATTTCTGAGATCAAAAGCACTTCAACTTTCTAAGCACAAGAAAAGGAGAAAAAGAAATTCTTACACATAAAATAACACATCATTTCATAAACCAAGGGGAAAAACCTCATGCACCTTTGCAGATTCCTTATTTGACAACTTAAAACCAGAAGGAATTTTTTGTAGCTGTTTAGTACACAGCTGAGGAATCTTATGTGACGAAAGAATATTTGCGTTCTGTTGGCACCCACCACACACCTTCCTGAGTGGTCACACCATAGGGTTTGCAATATTTACCCAGTTCCCCCATTGTCTGTCTCAGCTGTCATCTTTTATTATGAATCTACATCTCAAGCTAAACCTTTGCAGTTGCCAGCCTGATCAGGTGAAAAGCCGGGGTAAAGGACAATCTGACACTTGTGAGCAAAATAAAGAAATTTAATTAGAAATAAGGGACTGCATCTTAACCCAAGACTCATTGTCTTTTTAAATTATCTTCTTCCCATGAGGCCAGATTGTCCACAATTTCTTCATTATCCCTAATTTCTCACCCCCTCTGTTATCCAAAGTAACTTAATACAATTCCCAGGTCTGCTGCTGCGAGTTCCCAAATCCTGCTTTTTCTGGGCAGCTAGAAGCAAATATAGAGAAGCATGGAAATGGTCAAGATGTACCACCAGAAATAAATCAACATTTTTGTGTTCATAAATAAGAGAGGCTTCTGTTGGTAAGAAAGGCTGTGGGAAGAAGGTTGGGAGCATCCCTATGTCTGTGGACATCTTTCTCCTCATGCAAATATCATCACAGATTCCTGGAGAGACCTGTTTAGTGTGATCTGTCAAGCATGGACCAGTTCACAGCCCAGGGAACACCTTCCTGTGACACACAAGTCTGTCTCAGGGGGCTCCCACGCCCACTCCCTCTCATCTGAGCTTCCCAACAAAGCCCACAACATAACATAGTCCTTCTAGTGCCCAGTTCAGCACTGAGAAAATGAAAGGTGACAGGAATTGGAGTTGTTTGAACAGTGGTACTGAAACAATGACATTTTGCTAGAACCCACCAATTTGCCGACCTGTCACATGATGAGGTTTTTTTAGCTTCATAGAAAGAAACAGAAGCAAGAGATTTAATCCCTGGTACAGAGGCGATACTCAGTAAATACTGGTTTATCAATGTAGCTCCACTGGTATGAAATCTGATGTCTCAGTCTGTTGATAAAACAGTCACAGGGGCTGTGTGAGGAACAAGAAGCACCACCAGGAGGGAGAAGAACGGAACCAGTGACACACAGGTGACAGCCTGGGGAGTCTTTCAGCTTTGAGATGGCCAAGGAAATGAATGGCCAATCAACATCATGGCCAGGCAGGCACACTCTTCATAATCACTCAGTATTTTAAACATGTCATGTCTCTACCCTGCCTGTCTGGGGAAGGAGGAAACTCTTCTTAATACATCTAGTTTTTGCATTTGACTTTTAATTTCCTGAATTCTCCATGAAACTCATTTCATCCAAGTTCAGTTTATGAGAAAATTTAGTCACTTCTTTCGGCTCTATTGTCTGCCACTCACTCTCTGAGGTCACAACACAGAGAGAAAGTTCCCCAAGGAAAAGATTTGTTCTGTGATTGACAGGAGAAAGGAAAAATATATATACATATATTTCCAATGGTCGGTGGGGAGACATCTGTTTGGTTTCTAGGAAGCATTTACCCTACAGCACAACCAAAATGCAGCTGGATCCGCAGCTGCCCCTTCCCCGGAAATGCTCAGGTTGGGGGGCGGGGGCGGCGTCTCCTTTGTAGGAGACCTTCGGCAAGTCTGTGCCTCAGAAGCCTAGATGCCCCCTCTCTCCATCTGCAAAACACCACCCTCCTCCTCATTTCTTGCCTGAAACCAAATTTACACTCAGAAAATTCGTAATAGGGGGCGCCTGGGTGGCTCGTTAAGCGTCTGCCTTCGGCTCAGGTCATGATCCCAGGGTCCTGGGATCGAGCCCCACATCGGGCTCCCTGCTCAGCGGGAAGCCTGCTTCTCCCTCTCCCACTCCCCCTGCTTGTGTTCCCTCTCTCGCTGTGTCTCTCTCTGTCAAATAAATAAATAAAATCTTTAAAAAAAAATTCGTAATAGGTTCTTATAGTAGATTGCAACATCCTAGAAAAAGGGAAGCACATTTATTAATTCTGTAAATAATACTTTTCTTGACTAAGCACAAGCATAACCTCATTGATCCTCATGAGCTTTCTTTCGTGTTTCTCTCGGCAGCCAGCCAGCTGCAGTACATGTGGATTCAGAGTTTGGATTCCACCAGTGGGCGCCCGTCACTGCTGGACCACCTGAGAATCACCTGGACACTAGCAGGTCAAGATTTCTGCATTAAAGTTCCTGGAAAGTTTGACAGTATCTAATGAGCCCTTCTTCCTGTGCAAACACAAAAGAACTCCACTACAACAAGGCACACGGGCAGACACTCAAACAAACTAAGATCCTTTCTTTTTTTAAATTTTTTTTCAAAAGATTTTATTTATTTATTTGAGAGAGAGAGAGACAGATAGTGACAGAGATAGCGAGAGAGAGCACAAGGAGGGGGGTGGGAGAGGGAGAAGCAAGCTCCCCGCGGAGGAGGGAGCCCAATGTGGGGCTCGATCCCAGGACCCTGGGATCATGACCCGAACGGAAGGCAGGCGCTTAACCTCGACTGAGCCACCCAGGCGCCCCTAAGATCCTTTCTTATTTAAAATGACCGCAAATTGGTGACTAATATAACATAAAATTTAAAAAAATAAAATTTAAAAAAATAAAATAAAATGATCGCAATTAAGAGGACAGTCCCAAAGTGCAAGAGATTTGGGTTCTAGGCCCAATTCAGTCAGTTCTCTTCAGACTTGTCATCTCCTTTTTTTCTCTCCAGCCCCAGTATATCTAAGGACCTGAGCTAATGTCCTTGCTTAGCTTCCCCTCCTCTGAGACTCGTCCTGTCCTGTTCTTACCATCATTTTCATCTTATCAAAACCTGTGCTTAGGCAGTTAGCAACGGAAAGGTCTAATGCATTAACCCTCATTAATGTTAAAATGACAGCTCTACATGGCACACAGCATTGGCAAATTTCTAAATTTGTAGAGCACTAAGGAACCATCTAGTCTAGGTTCCTCTTCACTCAGAGAAGGAAACTGAGGCCCAGAGGGATGAAGTGGCCTGCCCAGTAATGGGGACATGGGATGAGAACACAGATGTCCTCCCCTTGGCTCCTTACCTCTCCTCTTCTCTCTTGGCACCCATTGTTCTCAGTAGTATTTACAGTTTTCCATGAAACCTCAAGGCTCTTGTTCTCTGATAGTGGGACTTTGGATATCAGTAGAGAGGCAAAAGCAGCCTTTCCCAGTGCCACCCAAATAAAATCACACTTGCCTGCAAACCCAAACTTGAGCATAGACTCCAGCAGGAGAAGGAATACAGACACGCTCTGCCCAGTTCTCTCTGGGGACACGGCCAAGAGGAAACCCCAGTGCAGCCCTTGTCACCTTGCTTTCCCAGCTGTTGACCAGACATCCTGCATGGACACAGGCCACCACCATGTGTTGAGTTGATTTTGTCACTCAATATTATCAAGGCTAATACTGGGGGCTTGAGAGACCCGTGGAACTTACTTTTAAATAGTAATGAAGTGCTAGACAATTCTTATATCTCTAAGACTAGACCCAACCTTGGGTGGTCCACCAGCATGCTAGAAGGGACAAGAACCAAATTTTCCCTCAAATGCTTTAGGAATATTAGACTCAAAAAATCACATTTACTGAGCACTTGCTATGTGCCAGACATTGATCTAAGTATTGAAGAAAGGGGTCTGAGTCATGGCTCACTGTTTCCAATGAATGGAGGAGCAAGAGAGATTTACTGCATATGTTAAAAATAGCCATATTCATTCAAATATTTTTATGCCAGAACCAATTTTGGACGATTTAAGTTTTAACCAGTTGTTTTGATATCCCATAGATTTATCAAGCAGGATGTTATTCTCCATCCTGGCAGATGTTTCATTGTCAAAGCCTTCTTAGAACAATTAAAAGTGGCCATTGGTTTCATGAATGCATCAGTGCACTTTTTTTATTATTTGCTGGAGTGAAGGGCAATTCCTTGTCCTTAGCCATTTTGTGTTTGGAGACCAAAGGCTATTCATCAATTCTGGAAGTACACCCAGATGGCTCTTTCTCCTCTCTTGATAAGATAAGCAGGTTTATCCTGCCCCATAGTAGCTCTTTCTGCTACTCTGTGTCCATCTATGTGGCATTTAAAGGCAACCCTAAATCTCTCACAAAGTCACCTCTGACTTGGGCAGCTCCTAGACCCAAACCAGAGCAACTGAGAAGTGCAGAGAAGTGCTTATGTGAAGCTCATCTCTAGACATGAGGATGTTTTCTGTTTCTCGTTTACAGCCAAAAAGCATGAACACGGACTGCGAGGCCAGGACACCAGCATCATTTCTCATCTGCTCCACTGAACAGGGAAACCTGAATTGTACAGCTCTCTAAAGGACAAAACCCAGACTAGAGAACATGTAACAACTCTGCCTCCACTCATCAACAGCACAAATGCCTCTTCTCTGTCAACCACACTTCAATTAAGGATTAAAAATAAAACAAACAAAAATGTGCTCCCTCAAGTCAGTGAGGACAGCCACTCAGAAAACACACAGGAACAGCACCCACGCCGGGGATCCCTCTCACCCTGGGCACCTATACTCACAAGCAGAAACAATCTAAGAGGCCTCCACCCAAATCCCCAAGTGCTTAGGAGCCATATTTTCTGCATCTGTCATTTCTCCCATAACACTGAGGGGTGATATTACAATTCCATCACGATTAATTTTATTAAAGTCATCAGGAGAAGTTAAATTAATGTCTCTCTATTGATAACATGCATATCAGATGCCTCTTTTATCCAAACAGAAAAACAAACCAAAACCAAAAAAAAAAAAAAAAAACCACCCAAAAACTTCAAATAACTCACCAGAAAACATTATAACATGAATGAGCTCTATTAATGTAAGACAATATGCTTTAATTAAGCACATACTACAGTAAAAAAAAAACCAGAGTGTAGCATCATCTGTCACCTGACACTCTCCAATTAATCATTTTAGCTTCCACTCACATTGTCAAAAGCACAATGTCAAGTGCTTTTGTCAAGAGAAATTGTTATCTAAATTAAATCTGTATCTCGAGGATAATTAGTCTCCCACGAAGTCCATGTGTCCCATGGCAGCTCGCCTTTCTGCCTGTTGATGTTCTCCGGGAACCTAGTGGGTAAACTTTCACACCGGCCAAAGTGAGTCTGCGTCTTCGTGGGCCATGTCTCCATTTGGAGAGGACGGTGCGCCCGGGGGCTGCCCGGCATTCCCTCTTCAGACCCACTCAGACTTTCTGGATCTGGAGTTGGCGAGCCCGTCGAGGCGCTGTAGCTGACCGGATGGATAGCGCCGGCCCAGCCGGCTCCGAGGCGATGAGGGATGCTCCTCTGATCTTGTGGGACCCTCGCCCCTGGGGTCCTGGGAGGCCTCTCCGCGCGGCCTACTCCCGGGCTCCTTGCAAATCGTGGCCAGCTTCTCGCTGGCAGAGGACATCACCTCGCTCTCATCTTCATCGGGAAGCCCCATCCGCCCTGATACAGCGGACTTACCACTGGGGCTGTCGGCACCCACCCCTCCAGTCCACAGGCCGGGGTGGATGGGCGCCCCCTCCTCCACCCACCCACCGTCGCGGGCCATCTGACCCGGCCTAGCGCCCAGGCTCCGGGAGAGCCGGCGGCCGGCGGCGGGGCCTAGGGGATCCTCGGCGGGGCCCCAGCCCCCGCTCGTCCTCCCCTGCACGCTGCAGATGAGGTCAGCCACACTGAGCAGCAGGGAGAGCGCACTGACCGCCCACATGAAAAGCATCATAATGGACTTCTCCGTGGGCCGGGAGACGTAACAGTCCACCACGCTGGTGCAGGGAGATTGGGTGCAAGAGAATCTCTTGGGGACCAAGAATCCAAAGAGGAGGTAATGCGAGGCACCAAAAGCTGCCTCGGTCAGCATCCGAAGAAGGAGGTGGACGATGTAGCCCGAGGAAAAGTCCGGCACGGTCAGGTGGCGTGGCTCCCTGCAGGGCGGAGGGCGGCGCCTGTCCCCAGGGCTCTGGTCACAGGGGTCAGGACGGGTGGGACCACCGTCTGGCCCGGAGAGTCCACGGGCGGCGAGCACGGCCCCTCTGTGGAGCACGTAGACGCTGAAAACGGCAGAAGGGAGGAGAACAGACACGCTCTGGATCAGCCAGAACCGCAGGTGGGACACCGGGGAGAAGATGTCGTAGCAAACATTAGTGCATCCTGGCTGCAGAGTGTTACACACAAACCTCTCCTGCTCGTCCTGGTAGACGGGGGAGCCTGCCAAGATGATCACCACCATCCTCAGCAGTATCATGAAGATAAGCCAGATCTTCCCTAGAAAGGAGGAAGCAGGAAGGGCACCATCACCAGCATACAAACATATGCCCGTCCGACAGTAGTTTTTAAGTATTTTCAGGGGTGAGACTGGAGAACTGAGAAGTCGCTAAGCATGCATTTCAGTCCCCAAAGCAGCGGCGGCTAGTTAGCTCATCTGCCAAGTATTTAAGGAAGCCATACAATGTGTCAGACACTGTGCTGTACTAGTTGTTTGCAAAATGCTTTGCAACTGACAGATTTTAAAGAAGCCTTAGAGACTAAAGATGTTTGATCTGACTCCACTAGTTCAGACTCTTGGTAATGTCTCCTGGACTGAAAGTTCTAGAAAGAAAGTTGAGCTGAGCAAATTAATGATGTAAATAAGACCTTACTCTCTGCAGATAATAAGCTTTCTAAAGAATGTTAGCACATTTGTGTAACTCTGTGTAGCAAATACAAGCTGCTAATTATAGTTCAGTCATCTTTATTTTGGTCCATAAGATCTTTATTTAATTGTTGCTTTATGGTCCTTGAAATCAAATTTCCTTAATGACATTCAACTTTTCCAGATTTTTCAATGATTTGGAATTCCTTTTCCTCTATTACAGTTATTATGAAATAATGAGGTTCCTCTTTCTTCAATTTATAATAAATGAGACCAACCTAGGAAATCAAAATGACGTCAAAGTCCTATTTTCATATCACAGGTTAACTCTTTTGGAACACGTCTAAGACTCAGTTAAAATAATCTGCAAATATTTTGTTTTGTGACACGATACAGAAAACATCACCTGACATCAGAAAAACAGAACTCTATTATAAATGAAGGCAGTTAAGCTCAAAGAATAGCATTATGTGATCAAGTCATTGACTCAAACTTGTAAGACCAAGTTGATTTTGTTTAAATTCTACAAAAGAATGAGTAAGAAAAATATCAACCACTTCACAGGCGTATTTTAATCCTTTTCTCAAGTCTTTTTTTTTTTAATATTTTATTTATTTTGACAGAGAGAGCGAGAGAGAGCACAAGCAGGGGGAGCAGCAGGCAGAGGGAGAAGCCGACTCTCCGCTGAGCGGGGAGCCCAATGCGGGACTTGATCCCAGGATCCCGGGATCATGACCCAAGCCGAAGGCAGACGCTCAACCAACTGAACCACCCAGGTACCCCTTCTCAAGTCTTTTTTCTAGGACACCCATACTTCTCTAAAAATTTGACATGTCTGTATCAAACTCAGAAATATTTATTACTTTATTTTTAAAAAAAATAATAAACTAAAATTTGGATTTGGCTTAAATTGCACAAGAGAAATGACTAATCCTTACAAATTAAGCTTCAAGGAAAAAGATGAACAAGAAGAAAGTGTAATCAAGGCACAAATTTCTCTTTAATTTTTACTGTATTGTTCCTTCTCCTGATCAGGTAGTCAGAGAAGAGTTACTCAAAGATACTCCTTCCACTGGCTTCAGTCTTCAGGCTCAGCACCTAAACATCAGTGAGAAGAGCCCCCAGGAGAGAACACTCAATCCAAGCCTTCCTTAAATGATGGTGGAACTGGGGAGCGATTAAAAGAAAGCTTGAGCACACAGCTCCCTTTCTTCCAGCAACAAAGAGGCCAAGGAAAGTGGTGAAAACAAAAATGCAAGAGCTTTGGAGCTATTTCCTATACTCACCCACAATGGTCATGTTGCAGTTGACAGTGATGAGAAGGAATCCCAGCAGGTCCAAACGTTCCATGTCTCCCGAGTGTCGCAGACTCAAAGCTGCTGGAGACATCGGAAGCCTGTGTTCTCCAAGAAGGTGGAAAATCTTTGCAGGAATAAACGTATCTTCGCTACAAAAGACTTAAAGGTGAGAGCTGCACATATAAAGGGAAATCTGTGAGCCCAGGAATGGGAGGTCAGTTTTTCTGTCTCCGAGCAGAGACGGCCCTGAGCTGTTGGCCTCTGAGGCAAAGCGTTCTTGACAACTGCAGTGACCAGAAGACAGCAGGAGTCATCTCTCATTGCGGGCTATTCTTACCCTCTTGAGACATTCCAGGCCCGTGGCAGTGCTCACATGTCTGTACTGGGGGAGCCAGACGCTTCAGGATATAAGAGAAGTGACTACATTTAACCCAAGAAAGAAAAGGTTCTGTTAACTAGCCAAGGAAACTTCTCTACTAAAAAGGTGTTTCCTCCTTGCAAATATTTCCACAACCACTTCACTTATTAAAGAAGCACTGAAATGCTCATGTTTTGTCTTCTCTATGAAGCGTAGGTGAGAACACTGGCCCACAAGGGTCTGGCTCTTGTTCTGAATTCCTGCATCATGGCTGAAAGCAAAACTCTGCATCTTAGACACGTGTCCCAACTTTAGGCTGTGACTCTGTTTTTCTCTAGCTATTTCCTGTCTGGCTGAGAGACAAGAGCTTTTTAGTTGGATACAAAAGGCCTGGGGCAGCCGCCTCGTCCCTGGGGAAGTCACCGAATCTCTCCACGTACCCTCACCTTGGTTTAGGGAGAATCATGCTGTTCAGTCAGGGATTGTGGGAGGCAGACACAAAATGATGATGTTGAGAGCACCTGGCATGGAATGAGGGAGCAACAACTCAAATCAGTGGAATTTCCATCCCTAACTGGCCCCCCAAACCTTCATAGATTGCATCTTCCTTTTGTATGTCCTAGCCCCATCTAGCTCAGGGCTGCTCCCATTGAATCAGCTTAATAAATGTCCATTAAATCCGTAATAAAGTATCACTGTCTGGACCTGCTGACATCAATCACAGTTGCATCAAAATCCTCTCGTAGCTGTCACCTTTCTATCTAGGAAGAACCCATCCTGCAAGGCTGGGGATCTATCATCAGGGTGGAAATTGTGAACTTTAAAAGGAATGATTTCAATTTTCCATGAAAGCTATTCTTTTATTCCCATCTTTTCTTCATTTCTGATCTATTCTTGACTTTAGTAATATCCCTAAAAAGATTCCCAGAAGAGGAGTACAACAAAGCTGCTTTCATCTTTATTCACATGACACGTTTCCATCCACAGAAAACATTTTGACCCCCTTGAAAGGCACAGTAGTTTTGCTATATTTTAGTCAAATGCTTCAACATGAACAATGAAATTTAGAGAAATTGTGGTTAAGTAAAAAAATATTGAAATAGCCATATGGTTCAAGTATAAAATAAAGGAAAATATCTTTCCTTCCTAATAGTCTATTCGTGACACTGGTTTAAAATTTAAAATACCAGGAAAGCAATTTCTGAATTTGCTGTGTGATATAAATAATCTATCCTGAACATGGAATAAAATAGAATTTTGCAACCTAGAGTAAATTGCTACAGCTTTTCATGCCTCAGTTTTCTCATCAGTAAAGTAGAAAAAAATGTGTCCTCTGCATACACAGAGTGGCTGTGATATGCAAAATGAGATCATAGACATGAAAATGATTTAAAAATATAAAGAATTACCTGTGCATCTCAGGGTCTACTCCTCTGGGTTCCCATCTTTGGTCTATCCCTTTGCTCCCACAGCATTTTCTGAAAAGGTAATGCTGCCTGTTGTCTCTCCACCCTTATCTGTTTTGCTCTTGCTTCTCTAAGTCCACACCATCTCCATTCTTTGCCTTTTTTCCTACTAAAGGATAGTTTTGCTCTGCCTGGAAATTTAAACCCCAGTAGCTGCCAGAAGCAAAATGTGGACAAAAGAGGAGGATGTGGCTGGAGCATCAAACATGTGGCTCTCTATACAATTATCCCAGCCCCCCATCCCAGCCTCCCCAGCCTCCCAGCCACATGTGGCACTGGAAATAACTTGGATTTCCTTGACTGAGAGCAGTACTGAGACCTGTGGTGGGACCCAGCAGACAAAGTGGCTGGTGTGTATGAAGCCGAAGGCTTTTTCCTAGCCTTGGAGCTTATCCCTGGAGCCTTGGAGCTTATCCCTGGAGCCTTGGAAGCCATACAGGAGATGAACAACATGCAGAACACTGAGGTCTTCATCTGTACCAGCCCTCTGATGAAGTATGAATACCGTGTGGGTAAGAAGTACCGCTGGGGGAAGAATCCACTGGGGCCTCAGTTTGTGGAGTGCAATATCCTGAGGAGGGACAAGACGGTGGTCTTGGGGGACCTGCTCATTGATAACAAGGACACCATTCGAAGCCAAGAGGAGACCCCAAGCTGGGAGCACATCTTGTTCACCTGCTGCCACAACCAGCATCTGGCCCTGCCCCCCACAAGGAGATGGCTGCTCTCCTGGAGTGACAGTTGGAGGGAAATCATAGGCCACAAGCAAGGGGCCAGGACAGTGGATGGTAGCTGAAGGAAAAGAAGGAAGGCCCCCAGGGAACCCCAGCAGAGCTGAATGACAGGGCAGTGTCATGGCGGTAGCGCCCAGCACTGTGGAGCAGGGAGACACAGTAACATCCATTCTCACAAGCCAGCCACCTGGAAACTCACAAGATGGCTGGCAAGGAAACATGGTGGGAAACTCACTCAGGAACATTTTTAATAAAACACTTTGGCTCAAAAAAAAAAAAAATTATCCCAGGGGCGCCTGGGTGGCTCAGTCATTAAGCATCTGCCTTCAGCTCAGGTCATGATCCTAGGGTCCTGGGATCGAGCCCTGCATCGGGCTCCTTGCTCTGCAGGAGGCCTCCTTCTCCGTCTCCCACTCCCCCTGCTTGTGTTCCCTCTCTTGCTGCGTCTCTGTCAAAAAAAAAAAAAATTATCCCAGAATCAATAGGGAGGTTTCTATTTGTGTGACTGTAGAGCAGAGAGAAGCTTTGGTGGAGTACTGTGTCCAATTCAATGGAAAAGAAATCCAGTGGGAGTCAGGGACATGGATATGGCTGAATTGCACAAGATGGCATCCTGGGATTTGTTCACAAATGAACTGAGCAAAAAGGAAAGAGAAAAGCAGAGCCATATGCTATCCAGCCTTGGCTTACCTCCCTCTAGCTTAATGACATTGCCAAATTAATTAGGCATGAGTTTTACCATCTATAAATTAGAGATGACACTTTGTTTTTGGAATTGTTGAGAACTAGAGTTACTTTAAATGAGGTTCTAGCACATTATTTGGCCTATAGGAGGCTCTCAATAAATAGCTACAGTCATTTCTCATTATTCGTGGTAGTTGTATTACATAAAGTTGCCACAAACACTGAGTTAGAGATTGCTGGGGACTCCATTTTTTTTTAATTTAATTTTATTATGTTATGTTAATC